CCTCTCATCCTCTTTATTTTCTTCAACTCAAATATAATATTGAGTCGAGCAAAATGTATCATTATTTCTACAAGAAAATGCATATTCTTAACCTAAATTAATATGCAGAATCTCATTCTACGATGAAATTTCACAATCACATAATATTAAATGAGCTATGCATTTCAATCATATGCCCCAATGGTTAAAAAGAATAATTTACAATTATTATGTTCTAAGATTTGGAGACTTTACTGTGAGCCAAGTCTATGTATGAACACACTTCATTTTTAACTACCCTCTCCATTACAAACTTCCCTTTCTAAAAAGTCATTCTCTATTATTTTAATAGGCAAAACGTCGTTGTAAACTGCTATTGTTGCATACCAAATTCGTCCACTATCCCATTAAAAGTCAATACTTTTATACCTAAGATCACATTAAAAACCAAAAACTAAATTTGTTGATTTAACGTGCATTAATCAGTCAATAATCAGAAACTGAAAGTTACAGTCAATCCCTATCTTACGTATAAACCTGGCTTCATTTGGATTTGTGCATCGTCTTCAACAAGTTGAGTGTTGGACCCGCGTTGGGTAGAAGAAGTGGCTGACAACCTTTTTTCCTTTTCTCTTTCATTGACATATTGCATAGGATATATATATTTTTATCAACAATATAATTTTATTAATTGGAGTACAAGAAATACTCTTATTTTTTATAAATTAAAAATAAATAATATCTCAACAATAATGCATATAAAATACTTAAATTTTCTTAAATTTCTTATTAAATTTCAAAAACTTAAAATACAGAGAATAATCTTTCCAAAATCTTAATTCAATAGTTTGCATATTGCATAGAATATAACATGCATGAATGTCTATACAATGGTCCATACATGTATATACACATAAACATAACATTAAAGTCAGTCTTCAAAAGAAAAACTTATTGATTTGAACATCAAAATTTAGCTTAAGATGATAGATAAGATTATTCCTATAGGATTCTTCCTCCGTAAATCTTATTAACTCTGATGAAAGTAGACTCCATTAATATCTTCCAAATTCGAAATAGGATTATTCAGTGGTTCCACAAAGAAAAAAGAGTTGCATTTTCCTTTTATCTTTTTTAGTTACTCGACATTTCACGTGAAATGGGTTTACTTTTGCCACCAATAAGATCCAATTTGCTCTATAGACATTCACTTTTTATGTCAAACATCCAACTTTACAGTTAGAATTTAATACAACGACAGAACGTGAAACATTATAAGCAAGAAGTCTATGCCTCTTTTTAACAGTACTTCTTATAAATCCTTTTTTTCAAAAGAGTATGTTATTTAAAAGTATAAAATTTTAATTTTTAATTAATATTAATTACTTTATTTATCGTAAAATAATTGTATATTTTTTTAAAATTTTGAATCTGTTTTAAATTAATTATTGTTTTTTAATTTTTCAAAGCAGACAAATATTTTTTTACTCTTTAAACCCTATTTTTATCCATTTACTGTAATTAATGATCTAGTCCTAAAAAGTCTATATTTATCTTTTATTTTGTTTTTAAGAGTATCATAAATAAATACAAATATTGTTGTTTATCTTTTATTTCATTTTTAAGGATATTATAGATAAGAGAAATGATTTTGGAATAATTTTTTTGTACTATTTTTTGTATAATTTGATGTGTCATTAAAATGATAGGTTTTTTTTATTCATGTGGGATTCATGATATTGAATACATTTACTTATTTAATAACATATGAAAGTTGTATCAAAAGATAAGAAAAAAAATATTGTTCTTATAATACCATCCGATAAATAAATATAAATTTTATCTCTAAATCTTTAATTTAAAAAAAAAAATCAAAAACAACAATTATTGTAAGACAAAAAGAGCAATTTTTTATATACTTTTATTAATTTTAATTAATATTTTATACTATATTTTTAGAATATAATAAAAGACCAAAAAAATATAATTACAGGATAGCACAACACAATATTAACACACAAGCATACATCACATTTAGACACACAAATTTTGGAATCCACTAGAAAAGCTAATAAAGAGAGTTATCTAAAATAAGTCTGATCAAATTTAATTGAATCAAAGCTAACAAATGGTAGTAGGCATTACAAGAGTTTATATAGTCTCATAAAAAAAAAAAAATCCCTATGTTGGATGAAACAATTTTAATTGAAAGGATAATAAATTATATATTTTATAATATATTTATTTAAAATTTATTTTTTTTAAATTTAAATTGAATATAAAAAAATTTTAACTACAAAATTTAATCATTAAATTAATAAATATATTAAATTAAAAAATATATCAATTATTTTTTATTTTAAAAATAAAAAGCCTCAATACTCTAATGTGGGGTCAGGGTGCCGAAACCACCCATGATTCTGCCTTCGGGTGCAACAATTTGCACGCCGATGCTTCGACTTTCTCTTGTTTCAATGGTCCCAAAATGCCCCTTAAAACACTTTCCACATCAGAGTTTATCCACAAACAAATTCCATCATTTTCTTTTTCCTACCAAGTAAGGATAGAGCGGATAAATTTTGGAGATGGAAATGCATAACGAACTAACGTGACAGCTACATATATAGTTTTTGATTTGTAATTTTTTGAAAAAAATTAAATATTTAATTTAAAATATTAAAAAAGTTTTTACTCAATTTTCATTGTTTAGAACTTTTCTTGTTCTTTTCTAATCTTTACCAAAACTTAAACAATAAAAATCAAGACAGAAGAGGGGGATCAAGAACTCACTATATAAGAAAATTTTGATTTGAGTTCGGATCTTGCCAATAAATCATTATTTAGTCAAATTTTACATCTAATTTTCATTGAATTTGATTTGAGGTAATTCTAGTTTATTTTTTCTTGTTCTTGTATATAGTTATGCAAATTAGGATTTAGGAATGATGTAGAAGTCTTTTTTTTAATGTTAAAAATGTTTCTTAAAAAACAAAAGTCACCCCAAACAATGTGCCATGTGGCAGCCACGTTAGTTCGTCTTGCATTTTCATCCCCAAAATTCGTCATCCCTATCATCATCTTTTCATGCCATAGCGTGAAAGTATAACAAGAAGAACATAAAAGAACAGAAAAAGAAACCACGTTAGAAGAAAAATCCACCGAAGCCAGTTTGCATGAT